ACATTCCAAAATGTTCATGGGGACCCGGGGAAGACAAGAATGTGTCCTCAGCACCCCATTGCTGGTGGTTAAAGGCGACCGAATTGGGCAACCTGTTTGCCGTGGGTTGCGCCCCTGTGTCGGTGGAGGACGGGATTCTGGTGGTTGAGGGCCTTGGAGCCAGTAACCGGTGTTCCTTTTGCCCAACACACCACTTCGACCCTTGCTTCATCTAGGCGGGTGGTAGAATTGGTCCGATTCTATTCATCGGCTGGTCACGCCATGCCCTGTGCATGAAAATTTGAATTTCACAAGACAATATTACAAATGGCTATGAGACAGGAAACATTATCATCTAAATTATGATATGATGAATTGCCTAGAGTCCTATGCCAGGTGGCGGTGGCTCATGGGACAATCTGGTTATATGGACCTCTGCTTTCTGTGTTCTTTTGAAATGTGTCATGGGCCAAACCAGCCTGACATGTATTTTTTAAGATATCACAGCTTTTCAAGTCTATTTTCTGGAGTATAGCACCCTTGTTGTCCTGTTGTTGCAAGCTGGCTTCCACTGCAACATCGTCCTTGTTGACACTCGATGGCGGGTGGGGAGCAGGGATGCGGAGTCCTATTAATTACACCTAGTCTCAACAAACTCAATCTGGTTCATCAAAGACTTACAAACGTCGACATGTGGAGTCTGTTTCTTCTGATGAAGAAGCAGTACCTCAAAATGATGATTCTTAGCCCAGGTCCTTAGTTATTGCATCTGCTGATGGTAACCCATTAAAATTTAATCCGTTTGTGATTTCCAAAGGCATTGAAAGCGTCTGTGGAACAGTGAAAAATGTCACTCGCCTCCAACGCGGTTTACTTCTTGTAGAATGTGCACCGAGGCAGCAATCTGTTAATCTGCTGGGTTTACAGCAGTTTGTTGCCACCAAGGTTGTTGTCTCGGTGCACAGTACACTGAATTCGTGTCGAGGCATCATCAGAGACTGTGCACGTTGTCTTGCTGACATGAGTGAAGAAGAGATTGTGGCGGAGCTAAAATCTCAAGGTGTCCATGCTGTAAAGCGTTCACCAGAAAACAAGATGACTCAATAGTAAAAACTAACACATACCTTGACATTTTTTATCTTCAAAATTTGCCACAACCAATAAAAGCTGGCTACTTTAACATCGGAGTTTAGCTTTATGTGTCTTACCCACTCTGGTGCTTTTACTTTGGACATATGCTGCTTCCCCAAAATTGTGCAAAAAATTCTGAACCAAAAATACACACAAATCTATCTGGAAGCAAAGAAAATAGTTCAGCCCATGTCTCAAACAACTGTTGCCAAAACTTTTTCCGCTACAATCTCTTCTCCAGTTCCAGTTACGAAAGTAAACCATCCGTTTACTGATGTCTGCAAACAAGCTAGGAGGGTAAGGAAAAAAGCTGAACACTATTTCTTTCACCATCCTATGGTCCATAATTTCTAAAACTTAATGCTAAAGCCAGACGAACATTTAAACACTATAAACGCCAATCTTGAAAGAACTATGTTAAAATAAATTCACGGACTCCGGATGTCCAAAGTATGGAACATGATCCAAAAGATCAAAGGTAAGGATTCTAAATCCATCATCCACCATCTTAAAATGGGGATGAAATGCTTACTGATAGTTCAGATATTGCTAATATACTGGCAGAAACTTTGGCGACACATTCTTCCCGGACTAACTGTGTACCTATATTTATAAAATACCAACAGCAGCGGGAAAAGAAAAACATTAATTTCAAATCAGTTAATTGGGAAGTCTACGATGAAATGTTTTTCATTAATGAGCTCCATACTGCCCTTGGGCAAGCTCATGATACTGCTGCGTGAGCTGATAACATACATTATCAACTCCTGAAACATTTACCGGAACCTTGTTTAGAAACTCTTTTGTTACTATTTGATGATATTTGGACATCTGGTAAGTTTCGTCACGATATGGCTGGAATATTGCCGATGTGACGTAAAGCATTAACTCACTCACTCACTCTGGTAAGTTTCCTTCATCATGGCGTGATGCCATAGTTGTTCCCATACCAAAACTGATACGGGATCATACCGATCCCTCCAATTATAGACCCATTTCATTGACTAGCTGCGTTTGCAAAACCATGGAATGCATGGTCAATAATAGATTCACATGGTACTTAGAATCCAGTGATTTAATAACAAATATTCAATGTGGTTTTCGTAAAGATTGCAGTGCCTTTGATCATTTAGTTCTCTTAGAGTCATTCGGTTAGAATGCAATTGTAAACAAACAACATGCGTTGTCTATCTTTTTCGATTTAGAAAAGGCATATGACACTGCATGGAAGCACGGTATTTTAAAAGATTTACACGATTTTGAAATGCGAGGCCGTTTGCCTCAATTTATATCCAACTAACAATTTCAAGTCCGTGTGGGTTCTACCCTGTCTGATCATGATAATCAGGATCAGGGTGTCCCACAAGGCAATATTTTGTCTGTCACTTTGTTTAGTATTAAAATAAATAGTCTCTCTAAAGTCTTAAATGATTCACTTGATGGATCACTTTTTGTGGATTATTTTAACATCTTGTGGTGGTAAAAATATGCATACTGTCGAAAGACAATTGCAATTATGTCTAAATAAAATACATAAATGGTCTTTAGAAAAAGGTTTTAATTTGTCTAAATCTAAAACAAAATGTATTCACATTTGTAGGAAATACAGACCCCAAAGAGACCCAGAATTAGTTTTGGATAGCATCCTATTTAGGTTGTCAACGAGTTCTTGGGTATAATTTTTGACAGACATTTGACATTTTTACCTCACATCAAACATTTAAAAAATAGATGCCTGACGGCCCTAGAAAGTCGTTTCCAATTCAAAGTGGGGTGGGGATCAGAAAACTCAATTCCACCTGTAACGATCACTGATTCGCTCTGAGTCGTCTATGGTGGAGCTTGTGAAAGTAATTTAAAAATACTGGATACCATTCTTTATCAAGTTCTGAGGCTTTGCCTTGATGTCTTCAGAACTTCTCCCATTAATAGTCTGTACGTTGAGGCTGAAGAGCCATCCCTGAAACACCTTCGCTTAAAATTAGTATTGCAACATGTCAAAAAACTGTATTCCAATCCATCTAATCCTGCATATGAATGTGTTTTTCAACCTTCTTATGAGCATTTGTATGACAATAAAACCCAGCACTTATTCCACCACTTGGAATAAGAATAAAAACTGCCATTTCTAATGCTAACTTGAATCTTACAGTTATATCTCCCATACACATATTGTCTTCTCCTCCATGGCAGTTTATAAAGCCACAGGTCGATCTGACGTTAACCAACCTAAAGAAATCAGATACAAATCAGTTACTTTATCAGCAAGAATATAATGACTTGAGAGGCAACTACAAACTAACACTTACAAATCTATGTTTACAGACGGATCCGAGGACGGTGATGCAGTTAACGGTGCCACTGGCATTGGATCCAATTCCGTATCATCAATTTTTACAGCAGAATCAAAGGCAATTTTAACAGCTCTAAATATATACATACACAATCTAAGCATAAACAGTCCGTCATATTTTTTTATTCCCTTTCCTTTCTTCGGGCCATTCAGAATATTTCCTGTGACAATTCACTTGTATGTGACATCATAGAACTACATAATGATCTTGCTACTGGTCAATATGACATCGTCTTTTGTTTGTTACCTAGCAGTGCTGGTATTATTGGTAACACAATGCCCGATGCTGCTGCAAAGGCAGCGCTCAACAAATCGGTGACACCACTTCTAATCCCATACGGTGATTATAAGCCTGCTATTAGATATTGCAGCAGAGATAAATTCAAAAGAAGTGGGGCTTCCAAGTACAGTTACATGAAATTAAACCAACTTTAGGTTACACCTACTTGGGCTGTCAGTCTTTGCGGGTCTTTTCACTAACGAAAGTTTTTATTTATCAGGTTTTTTAAAAAGAAATTGACCTTTTTGATAGTTTTAATCGTAGAATATGTGTTCTTTTAAATTTCGGCTAACTTTGCCAATAATCACCAACACCTGAAGGGGTGATGAAAATCCTGCTTATCTACAAGTTTTAAATAAATCTGTGATAAATCTAGTTATTTTACTGTCCTTTGTTGACAGTTATTTATATAGTCCAAATGTATAACTTGTTATAGTCACGATATGGCTGAAAAACTTCCGATGTGACTTTAAATCTGAACTCACTTACTCACTTTTCATGACCTATTTTATAGCTTGTGGGCCATGTTCATACGAGATATACTGGAATTTCATTAGAATGTCAGAAACTACAACTATGCCAAGTTACATGCTATTTTTCCCAAAGTTCTGTATTTACTCAATAAGGCTGGATTAACTAAATACGATGTCAGCTGTCAACCACAGGCAACAGAGTCTGCTTCATGTGACACAAAGAATTAAGAAAGAGTTGCCATAACAATGACACACGACTGCCATCACATTTTCCTTTTTCTACACGTTTTCTACGCAATAATTTATTACCCCAAATAGTTCAACGCCCTCTAAAAATCCTATTACAAATGTTCTTTGAAAACACTAGTCGGTAGTATACCTGACATGGTAAGAATTGTAATTATTTGGGCATTTGTTTCTCATATCGGAGTTAAGCTTTATGTGTCTTACCCACTCAAGCCAACCGCCGTGATATTGCTGGAATATTGCTAAAAGCGGCGTAAAAAAAACCATATTCACTCAAGCCAAAATGATGGTTATCAAATAAGTATTCGTCAGTAGCATATGGTGCTACTTTGTCAACAATATTATGTTATGAATATGAAAAAGCAACACCTATCAAAGTGTTTCATAACAACGCTTCAGAGGAGAGAAGACGACACACTGAATTGAGTTGATACCGACAATCACCAGGAACACCTGTCTTGTAAAGGCAGTAACAGCGATTGTCTCCCTTTTGTTGTCCCTGCAATCGAGCTTGTCAATTTCCTCAGGTAGTCATATGTGCAGGTGAGTTAAGAAGGTGCGCTATCTGTGACCCACATAAGAAAAAACCCATGTACAATCTATACCTTTACACCAAAAGTCAGTAAAACGGTTTGTATGATAAATAAGATGCCGTTTTTCGTGTCTACTTCTTGATCGCAGCCTTGTATCACCAAGATATGGATATTGACAACTTTTAGTTCAGTCCACAACAATGTCACTGGATTCAAACATGGCGGACTTCAGAAATTGTCATTGGATAAACGAAGAATGGAAGGAAGCGATTCACTGGAATTACCTGGCTGTTGTATTTGTTTAGTTTCAGTGATTTTGTGAAACATGGAAAACAATAAACAACGGCGATCCGACAAAAAGGTAAATATGTGATTTAGGTTCAGTCCGAGATACCAATTTAGCCTTTTCTGACGTTCAATAAAGAACGTGTTCTCAACCGAACATGCTAAACTCTAAAGACGTTTCAAACTAGTATTTGGGTATGATTTCGAATTGGCCGTTTATGATATCTTGGCAAAGAAAGTTGTGTTTTCGACGGGAGTGACCGTTCAGAGACTTGTAATTTGCAGAGATTTCTTCACCAGTTCATAGTGTATGTATATATGTGCTGATACCTCCTGAAGTAATATTTTTAGTCGTTGATATATATATATATATATATATATATATATATAATTAAACAAGTTGAGTAAGATTGAACACAGTCTTTATTGGCTAGCGCTTTCAACTCATATATATATTAGAATTGGAATAGTAACCATGACTATGTGTATGTATTTTTATATTTTTTATGCATCATAATTGGTTTTGTGAGGACATAGAAAATCTCTGAGATATTGTCATGGCCCCGGCAATCCAGCTTGTCATTCAACTGGACTATATGCTGTAGTTAGCTTATGTCATCCTCTACTTATATCCATGTGCTGGCAAAAGCTCTCTGTCATAAAACTGCTGTGAGTGAGTATGTTTTTACGCTGCTTTTAGCTATATTCCAGGAATATCACGACAGGGGACACCAGAAATGGGCTTCACACATTGTACCCATGTCGGGAATCGAACCCAGTTCTTTGGCATGATGAGCGAATGTTTTAACCACTAATCCACCCGACTGCCCATTAAACTGCTGTGAAATTTCTCAACTAATAGTGATGAAGTCAAAATATGTCACAGATGTTCCTACCATCAATTACATCAAACTTTATATAAATGGTTCTAATCAGTGGGGTTGTAGAGTCAAAACGGTCTCATGTCCGAAAGGCCTCAAAACCAAAAAGTCAAGAGGGCCACAAACCCATTGTCAAAATGGCTACAAAAAAGTTGTAACGCCCACAACAAAAATGTCATAACGGTCATGGGTAAAAGGTCAGAATGGCCATGATAATAATAATGATCATGTTGACTTTATTGCTCCTTTGGATATTATATCAGTACAAAGGCTTCATAAAATCCATGAGATATGTGTTTTCAAGCTTGTGGCAATCACATCTTTTAATCCACTTAATAAAGATTTGCATGCAGAATAGGGTCTAAGTTAACAGCATGCACTCTTGAACAATTGTGGAAGGCAGATACAACAAGCCAACCTTAGCCAATTTGCGAGACAATTAGAGATTAAATTTAATCGGTAATTGATAATAGATTTAACAAAACCTTAATCTAAAGCAAAAGATAAATATTTTCACAATTGTATACTTATCCTGCATTACTCCTTAATGCATTTACTGCATAATTTTGACTGAAATGAAGCTATGTGACGTTCAGCTCAAGAAAAAGTTGTTCCATCCAGTTGTGAAGCGGGCCCCATTGTACAGCACACATGTGACAACGCAAGTGATGACGTCACGTAAACTATACTGCTTGTCATGTGACATCTGAACATATTTTAGGGAGGTAAGTCTTTTAAGGATTGGGCCCTTAGATGTACTACGCATTACTCCTTAATGCATTTGAATTGGATGGTATGGCGGAGGGCATACCTTCAGATGTTTCTTGAGCAAAAATCCCCTAAGTTGATAGCTTCAACAGTCGAGTATATCCCTTTCAAAGATCTGCAACTAAACTACCAATCCTGTCTGTGGAAGAAACGAGAATATGAGGACGTTCTGGTAAAATGCAGCAAAAGAAAATAACGTGCACTTGACATGCTAGAGTCTAGAAATTGATGTAAAAAGTTGGGCGTGCAAACACTCTGCGAGTAAGGTACAGGGCACAGTAGGAGTTCCTCCTCATTTACAGCGCCCACACTGGAGGAGATAGGTGGGATGGTAAGGACCTGTGTAGCTGTCCTGGTAGTTGATTCTTGGCAATGAAGTCCCAGCTCAGCCCGAGGTTAACAGCTCTGTGCGTACCACACTGAAAGCGTACAGATGTAATGAAGTGCATGAAGCTCGATAACCCTTGTTGCCGTGGCCAGTGACAAGAGGAAGGTCATCTTTTCTTGGTGTGGTTTTAAAGAGATGTTGCATGGAGAGGCTCCAATTGAGGACCACGCAAACACAGAAGTACCACATTTAAATCCTATATCAGGGGGCGAGGGATGCTGTTTGCATTGACCACTCATGCCATGAGGGAGACATAAGTATGGATCTGGTAGTTCTGACAAGTGGAGAAAAGGCCGAAGTTGGGATGACCAAGGCGCTGACACACAGGATGAAAAGCCATGGGATGGTGCTTCCATTCTGTGGGCGCCACCCTGTCTCCTCTGGATAGAGCGTCTGCTAAAATGTTCTGATATTCAGGAATGTGCTGGACCAGAATTCAAGGTTGTTGATGTGCCGTCTGTATGACCATAGCCCTGAAGGTGTCAGGCCCTCTAGATGCACACCCCAACTCTGTAGATAGGCGTCTACTAACAGGTGTGATGTTGTGGACAACTCTCTTAAGGAGACCCCTCCAAAGACATTCAAAGCTACCGTCCACCAGCTGGGAAGAGTCCTGAGGTGAGGCAGTAGAGTGAAGGATACACAGGGATCCAGACGTCTGATGTAAGGTGCCAGGACTGTTTTATCGGTTGTAGGTGACCTCAGACTTTAGGTCCTGGGCCGATGTGAGCAGTCCTAGGACTGGGTGGTTGCTGAAGGGTAGGCGACAGATGGCGCAGTAACATAAGCAATCTGTCCCATGGTAAGATGGAATGAATGCCGACTTAGCCCTGTTCACCATACATCTCAGTCGATGGAGAAAGCGGCAGGTGAAGTCCCAGTGACGGAACAGGGTGACTGTGTTAGGATGGTTCAGAGGGCAGTTGTCTATGTTCGACTCAAACCAAATGTCCCTCAGGTGCAGGTTGGTGAGGTGGGTAAATAACCACAGGGCCACTGAAATGCCAAATGGGAGGTCTGCCCATTGGTAGTGGACACCATTGAACTGGAACCTAAGGAACTTCTGGTTGCTGGGATGGATAGGGACAAACAGGTAAGCATTCTGTAGGTTGAGACAGATCAGGGAATATTAGGCATGGATTATGGTCCTGAGCAGTGTAAGGCTCCAACTGGTGCACTTTGGACAGGGAGAGATTGTGAATCATCCTCATCATCGGAGTCTTTCGTGAGTATGCGGAAGATGGGAGAGTAGAACCCTCGTCTTAGAGCTGGGGCGTGCACAATCTCTTTGGCTTTTTTTTGCAACAGAATGTCTGTGTTGGCCACCAGATGCGGCTGCGGACCCAAGAGGAAGACGGCATACCCAAGCCGACCAAGCATGATGCTGTAGACATATAGGGGTGGGGAATGCAGCAGATGCTTGGTGACCTTGATGAGCTGGCGCCTCCACAGGCGCTGTGGTTGTCAGTTTTGCTGGAGGTGCGTAAGACACAAGAGGTGCACCCTGGTAGGCAGGTGACGGATACAGTTGAGGCGCAAACGACTGCGTGGGATGGTAAGCACAGGTGTCATGGTGAAGCCATGAGGTGCAAAAATCGCTGAGGTGCTCAGGTATTGTAGACGAGTCCGAAGAAGCGGGTCTTGTAGATGAGCCAAGAGGTGCACGGGGAGAGATATCACTACAGTTGCTGTCAGCGGAGCCTTGGAGGTCATAGCAGGTGTAGAAGCTCTAACTACCTAAGGTGCCTGGGTAGGCGGAGTTGGAAGAGTGACTTTGGACATCCCTGGAGAGGTGGGTAGAACCCAACCCGATGTAGAGGGCTGGGAAGTAATCACAGGAGACTCATGCTGAAGGGATTCCTGAGAAACCCGACATCCTCCTGGATTGCTGCAGGGACTGCTGAACAAGGCGCTTACGGGAGACCTGATAATACCTTATAATGCTTGATAGGGAAGCACTTCAAACCCATCGTACAAATCTGCATACAATCAATACACCGTGGGTGAGGATAGCAAACATGTATAGTTTACATCTCTTCTGAATCATTATCTTGTTCTAGTTTCACATGTTTAATCTTAATAGATTTGCTAACCTGATGTCAAATTTTATAAAGATGTCATATAAAAATCAAACTAAAAATATTATGATAAGTACTTTCGTGATGATCTTCATGTAATCATAATTAAATTTTCGTTATTGTGTCACATGTTATTGCCTTCATTTCCCAATAAATGTAAAATATTCATATTCGCCCACCGAATCAGACTACTTTTACAACAGAAGGTTGGTGAATCCAAATATTACAGTTGAGGGAAATTCCCTTTCTGCTCACGTATATCGTCATGCCAAGGACATTTAGCGAAATTCATGCACATTCATTGTCCAAACTACCCTTTGTGACCGAAGACCGAGAAGGAATGAAACAGCAAACGTGCAAGCTCAATCGCCTGTTTTTTGTCTGCTCGCCTGGGTTCCACAAATTTCATGTCTTTGGGTTTCATTTCTAACCCGCATTTTACCAACTGTATCTCCCTTTCTCAGGGAACCAATGTTTGCATCTCGCGGTAACTGACCTAGTAATTTGAAACAATCCCCTTCTCCAAGAAAAGTTTGTTCAGGTTTGTTACAGTCTGACTGTTGTGGTTCTTCTTGCCTCTTGCCTTGATTGACAGGTTCTATGCACTATGTTTTGATCCTACTCTCCGTTGATTGGCGATAAAATGTTGTGGGCGTGTCAAGTTAGGGGCATGAATTGAACAATCACCTGATTCATGTCATGCCTAAGTATGTATTCCTACACCTGGAGGGGGGCACGGGTGGCCCAATCATCTAAGGCGCCACAATTCGCTGTGCAGAGTCGCGTCCTTTGGGCACACCAGAAACCTATGATTGTGGGTTCGAATCCCGGTTCACCCAGATTATGTTTTAAGGTTTGTCAGCACCAAACCCGTGCTCGTGGTTTTCACCGAAATGGTAAACATCTGAGACCTGCATCACATCGGGTTTACCTCCCACATTAAGCTGACACGCTGTGATAA